GTAGCGACGGCTAGAGGTGATCCCAAACAGCCTGTCAAGATTTCTCGATCAGGGCAGCTCTTTCCAGCTTGAGTTTTGCGTCAATCCAACTACATAGTCTAATTCCATCTCAGTTTCCCAGTCGAATATCCATTCTTAGTTTTAGTTTTCCTTCCAGAAGAGAAAAGAGTGATGGAGCGACTAGTGCACGACTTGAAGACAATGGAGACGTTGTGTTGTACCTTAGACTACCCTGGAATTTCAGAAGAGGATCTGAATAAATACATTAAAGACCATGGACCACTGGTCAACCCAGTGTATGGTGAGGTGCATGGCTATTGGATCGATGGTGACTTCTTCACCCCGTATCGGAACGTTGTCCCAGGCTGCTGCGAATTAGCGCCTGAAATTGCGGTGTTACTGGGGCGTTGGATGGATTGGTCCGGAACCAGAAAACGAGGCACTATCCTTCTCTCAAAAGGAGGGTATATTTTCGATGAACGCACAAAAAGACCCACCACTGTGAGATCGCCTGACGTCACGTATACCCCACGTCATGCTACCAGAAACTCGGGGGATCTTGAGCTGTGGCAGCGTGGTCAAGAACCGTACGCTCCTTTGTTCGTCGTGGAAATCGACTACTTGTCGGGAGAAGATTCTCAATTTATCGCGCTCGATCAAAAAATGCGAAATCAGTTTTTCAGTCATGGAGTGCAGCTAGGCTGGCTGATCGATCCACGCCCTGGGTCCCGTAAAATGTTCGAGTACAAGCTTGACGAAGCTGGTAAAATGCATCGAGTGGACAACGAGGAGTGGAGAGACCTCGATGGCGGTGATGTGCTTCCAGGGTTCCGCGTTGACAAGACAGATTTAGAGATGCTCCTTGACCCAGATGGTTATGTTCCGCCCGACAACGACGAGATCGACATGATCTGCCCTTGTCGAGGATGTGACGAACGCCTCCGATCTCTTCCAGAGAGTATTGGTCATCTTGAAAGCCACAGAGCTGAACGCGAGAGGCAGAAGTATTTGGCCAAGCGTGCTGCACGCAAACGCATTCAGTTGCGGTTGTAACACCAAGAGGAAAGGGGCATCTTCGGTATCACTTTTTTGTGTTTCTTGATTTCCGAACCTTTCTCAAAATGTCGGAATTTTAACTTTGGATAATACAAACTTCAATATATTTTTAAGAATGACTACGCATTTATATTATTTAAAAGAATAGCAGTAAAGCCCGAGTACTGTTCTATAAAAACATTGTTTTATTTTTCCTTAGCAACAATGGCTGGACATGTAACAATATGAAGTTAGTGAGAAAGATTGCTGGCCAAGGCCACGACTAAGGAAATGGAAGACATGTGAGACGTGCTCGGTATTTTTTTTTTTTTGATAATGCCGTAGTAGGCTACTACCATTTTGTCCAAAATGTTTAATTCTGCGAGGCATCACGAGTTTAGCATAATACATGTAGAGAGTCACTATTACAGTAATACCATCGTTTTTATGCAATATTTAGGTGATACCTCACTGAAAAACTGAAACACTGAAAACCGAAAACTGAATCTTTAGGAAAATGATTGAGAATGGAGATAAGAACTATGTTGCGCTCACAAAACCCCGAGTAAATACGAAGCTCTTTGTGTCGCATCTTTCTGTGCCCTACCACAAAAACAGAATAATCACGAGCTTTATCAAATGAAGCTTCCATTGATAAGTAAAGAGATCGTCTTTCTAGCCAGGGTCGTTATCGTTTACCACGGCAACTCCGATGAAGGTATGATGTTGCCCTCGCCGAAATGCTTGCTTGTCCAGGCCTCCAAGTCCTCGATCAGATCCTTCCCTGCTCTCGTATCAATATTCATCTTCTCCAAAAGTCCGGCCATCTTCTTGTAGCTGCGGAGATTGTGCTGCCACCAACGAACGGCGAATTTTTCAGCAAAGCTCTTGCCGTCTACAGAGTCTCCGTCAGCTATTTCAGTGTTTTGACTCTCGCTTGGAACAGGAATGGTGGGGTCTGCGTTGAAGAACTTGCTCGTATCCTCAAGCTTCAACTTGGCCACAATGTCGGCCATCGCCGATACCGTGTCGGCGGGCTTTACAACACCTTGATGGTGGGTCATGTCCGTGTCCACGTACCCGGGGTTCACTGTCACGACTGCGACACCGTGCTCACGCAGGTCCATGGCCAGCGAGTGGGTGATCATGTTCAGCGCGGCCTTGGACGTGGTGTAGCCATACTGACCGCGGAACAGTTGCGCGTGTTCGTCGTTGTTGCATGCGATGCTTCCCATGATGGAAGTGATCTGCAGGACGATGGCGGGAGTCTGCGTGTCGGTCGCGAGTTTTAGATTCGGCAGAAGCGCGCGAGTGGCGAGGAACGGTCCGACCGCGTTGACCTCAAACACCTTCATGATGTCAGCTTTCGTAGCGGTCTCGAAAGTCGAGTAGACACCAATGCCGGCGTTGTTGATGAGCAGGTGGATAGGTACCCCATCCAACTGGCGAGCCGTGTCGAGCACAGTAGCCTCGTCACCGGCGTCCAGTGTGACAATCTTGAAGGGCGAGAGTGCAGCGAGCTGTTGGCATGGAGCAAGAAGCATCAGTAAAATAGCGTGGCGTCAAGTTGGCAGTCAACTCAAACCGTAAAATTTAAAGTTTTGCATGTGTTCGACGTACCTTGTCGGTGTTGCTTCCGGCGCGAGCCGTTCCGATGACATTCCACCCGGCCTTGGTGTAGTACTCGGCGAAGGCAAGTCCGATGCCGCGTGTGCTGCCTGTGATGAGGACGGTCTTCTTGGAGGCTGCCATG